TTTCTTCATATTTTCTATTAATATAATTAATACCTATATTAATATATTAAGAGTTTTTAAGCTTACACCTCAAAAACGGAAGGATTATAAATTGATCAATTTTGAAATTAGCTATATTTATTATAATCAAATTGTTTTGTATTTAATTGTCAAACTAATTTATTCATGAATGTGAAATTATTTCATATAAATATTAATTATAAATTTTATTGTAAAAGCAACTATACAGCGTGTCTTACTAAAATCGATATTTTTGAATATCTGTTAAACTATTCATACTGTAAAACAATGTTTGCAACAGAAGTTAAATAATTTCTAGGAGCACACAACGTGACACACGTAAATACATGTTTTTGAATATTGCAGAATTCCCGCGGATAAATCGAGTTTGATAACATTGATGATATTGTAAAAATTGATGTTTCGAACAACTCCTCCCCAACAAAAAAGCGGCTCTACTCATGTTAATCTCCATTATTTAACATATGAAGCTCATTTCTATATGTATCTACTACAAAACTACCACAATTGACTAAAACTGTTGGATTTTTTGGCGGGAGTTGTACGTAATTTGAATGTTCAAAATAGTATTTGTCAAATATAATATTACAAAAATGCAATATTCATTGATTCATGAATGCAAATGTTTCTATTCATGCATTTGTTTTACAAATCAGAGGTGTTGAACTCTCTAGGATCGTTCCCCTCGCGAAAAGTTACAATCTTTATACCTATCTTTACCTGTGTTTGAACACTACTATATAGAACTGCTCATATACACAATATCGGGTAACTCTGAGTAGAGGAAGTGGGGGAACGCTGTTTCCGAGTTACTAGCGTGAGGGGAGTAAGTTATATGGACATTTCTGCTCTAGAGAACTTGCGAGTTACAGACGCGAAATAATTACATGTGTTCATATTGTGATCTTGTACCATTTAAAATTGGCATTACCTTCTATGGATTACTACTTAGATAAAATATAGAGAAAAGAAAATTATACGCAAAAGAAATGGACAAGTCGATATCGCAAAACTTAAGAACTACATTCATTGAACAACACCAGTTTTGTACGCATGTGCAATGAACTGTGGTTCTTGAAAACGTGGAGTTTTACCTTTGTTAAATATTCTCCGTGCTCGTACGTTAGGTAAGTTATTTGAAATTTGAATTAAGTTCGGCGTTTTTCTTGTATGTTGTGTTGAAGTTTTTGATACAGGTTGTCTAATGAAAACAAAAAATACACCATATATCTGTTATTAAATGTTTAAAAAGTTAGAGCAAAAATGGACGTTCATGAAGACGATGATATTATGGACATTGATGAAGAAGGTGGATTAAAAGTAGATGATGACATATTCATACCACCACCTATTAAAATCTTTCACGAAATTGATATAAATGGTCCTAGACTTATGATTACAAAAATTGTTAATGTAAATTTTAAAAGTTATGGTGGAACTCAGGTTATTGGTCCTTTTCATAAGGTAAGTTAGATATATTTTGATAATGGATGTTTACAAACTAATACTTGCATTTCCTTTTTCTTAGTGTTTTTCAGCAATTGTTGGTCCAAATGGCAGTGGTAAAAGCAATGTTATAGACTCAATGTTATTTGTATTTGGATACAGAGCTAATAAAATTCGGTCAAAGAAGTTATCAGTTTTAATACATAATTCCAGTCAGCATCAGAATATTAATAGCTGTACTGTGTCTGTACATTTTCAACAAATTGTTGATAAAGTATGTTATTCATTCTAAAATTTATTGCTTAAATTACATTTCTAATGAATTTTATAATATAAGTGTTGTGTTTTAGGCTGGAGCAGAGTACAATGTTGTTCCTGGCAGTGAATTTAGTATATCCCGAACAGCGTTTAAGGATAATTCTTCATATTATGAACATAATAAAAAGAAAGTGCAATTCAAAGAGATTTCAAAACTTTTAAGGTCGTATGGTGTGGATTTAGATCACAACCGTTTTTTAATCTTGCAAGTATGGAACCATTTATTAACATTCTTTACATAAAAGTTAATTATATTTGTGTTCAATTAGTTTGTTCATTGATTCTAATGCTAACTATATAATAAAAGCTCATATAAGGTGTTTAGAAAATTCCATGTTACAGCGATTGGTAAGCGTGTAACGTTTATTAAATTCTCTTTTTTGATACTGGTCTAACTTCTTTCTTTGCTTGTATTATTTTTTTTATAAAAGAATCTCACTTTTACAGTTATATTTCAATAATTTTTTAATCATGGTTTTGGAAGTTCAACTATAATCAAATATTGTAAAATATGTTTAACATATTAAAAATGATTAGAAAAAAGTAAAGTATAATAATGTATAAATAATCTGTTATTTTGGTTTTCTACATGACACATGCAATAAGAGAATATTTTTTACTGTTATCTTATTTTGAAGGCAGAAGTATTTTATATGAATATAGTGAAAGGATTTTAGTTATATTCTAATTTAATTACTTTATATTAAATAATTATATTAGGGAGAAGTTGAGCAAATAGCTATGATGAAACCTAAGGCACAAAATGAAAATGATACTGGCATGCTTGAATTTTTGGAAGATATAATTGGAACAGTTCGTTATAAAGAACCATTGGAAAAATTATCAGAAAAAGTGGAAATTCTATCAGAATATAGAGTTGAGAAGTTAAATCGTTTGAGAATTATTGAGAAAGAAAAAGCAGCTTTAGAGGAACCTATGCAAGAAGCAGTTCAATATTTACAAACAGAAAACGTAATAACGAAGATACAACATCAGCTTTACCATTATAAGAGGTATTATGTTCATATGTTAATTTAAATTCTATAAAACAATTTTACAAAACCTAAATATGTTTTTATAGATTTGATACAACGAAAGAATTAGCGCAACAAGAAAGTAAAGTTAATGAATTAGATAAAGATATTTTGGAACTTATAAATAAAATGAAAGAAATTCAGGAAGAAAAAGATAAACAGTCGAAAATAATTAGTGAAAAAAATAAGAAATGGGATAATTTGCAATCAAAAAAAGATGAAATCACAACTCAATTTGATAATATTCGCAAAAAAGATGAATCACTTCATGCAGAACTAGTAGAGACTAATAAACGTCGGAAAGCAAACATTGCAACATTAAAATCAGTAAACTACATTTTATCTTCATAGTAAAGAGTTAAAATATATTGCCCTTAGATTCAATAATTCAATAACTGAACTTTATTTTAGGAAAAATCTAAATTAGAAGATCTCAGTAAAGTACCTGAGAAAAGTATGAAAAGTATTCAGGAATGTGAAGAGCTTATTCAAAGTCACATAAAAAAAAGAGAACACGAAGAAGTGTTATTGGAAAAATTAATGGTTGGACTACGTGAGAAAACAGATCCATTGTTAAAGAAACGTTCTAAACTTGAAAAGGAATTAATATCTTTAAGAAAAAATGTTGATCAAGCTCAAGCAGCTTTCAATATTGCTCAATCCGAATTAAAATTATACACTTCCACAGAATCGATAGAGAGAGAAAAACTAGAAAAGTTACAAAATTCTTTAAAATCCACAGTGGATACTTTAGCGGAGAAAGAGCAATATCTACAAAGTCTCAATGTAAAAATTCCAAATAGTCAACAGAATTTGATACAAGTACAACAAGCATTGGAGGAAATAAAACACAAGGAGACTAAAGAGATTGCAAAGTTGAAACAAATGAGAGTTTCGTTTGAAGAACAAAAGTCTGCTATGCAAGCAAGTAAGTCAAGAAACAAAATTATAGACAGTTTAATGCGAGAGAAAACAGAAGGAAGAATCACTGGTATATATGGCAGATTGGTAAGAAAATTAAGAATTATGTATTTTTTAAATACAATACAATGGACGCCACCGTTTATCTGACTCAAATGGCACCAAGCTTAATTTGGATGACTGAAAATCTGGGTAGTCCAGAAAATTGATTAAAAACATAAACAACATAGATACAGTGGCTCAAAAAAGTATTGGCACACTCTCTTTTTCGAAAGAATCTTTTTACACTGATACGACATATCAATATTAATTGTATTAATTAGTGTATTTTAATATATAACAATTATATCTTTTTCAAGAACACTTACTAATGTCATTTAAAAAAGATATAAGAGAGAAACAAAAATTACGTACCCAAGTAGGTATTGGTACATTTTGAATATAGTTCCTAAATGTACAGTTGCTTAGATTTTCTGGTAAAAAACGAATATTTATATCTTTTATGCATGTCTTTGGCATTAATGATTCTTTGTAGTCTATTTCGTATAGATTCAATTAGTTTTTTAGTAGTTCTTGGTGAAATTTGTAATAAATTTTAACACAGTAGAACACATTTCTTACTGTGTGAGGAATATTGTTTTTATCTAAGATGCTGCAATGTCATTGTCTAAACTTGCAGCACTCACAAAGAATTCTTTTATTGCTTCTCATACAATATCTCATCGTTCTGTTTTCCTGTAGAAGCAGTCCTTTCGTATTTTGTTATAGCATGCCTCACTGTAGAAAAAATTAAATTTAAAGTTTTTCCAATTTTCCGGTAATTTTCACCACATTTGCGAAGGAAAATTATTTTATTTCACATGGAAGGAAGCAACTCATTTTTCTTATTAACCATGGTTTCGATACGGAAGCAAACACAGACTAATTACGTAGCTTGAACCAAGCAATACTCGTAAACAAAGTTTGTTTACATCTGCGTTCTCAGTATTGGGTTTAAAACATATAAGTGTACGATTTACCTTTATAGTTGCGAATCTACCAATACTTTTTTGAATACAAAATTTCTGTTTTTTTTTCGTAACTTCCTTAAACTACATTATTCGTTGTTCTCAAAGAGCATGCGGTTTCTGCATATTAAAAGACATTAAAGAACACAATTAATATCAATATATTATTTCAATGTGTAGAGATATTTTAGAAGAAGAGGGTGTGCAAATACTTTTTTCACCCACTGTACATTTGACTATTTATTGCACATTTTATATATTTCTATACCAATTTTAATGGTATAAAACAGAACGTACCTACATATGTACAGTATAATCCGATTTCAATTAAGATACTAGCTATACACAAGGATACTGTAAACGAATTAGGATATTGTAAACAAAATGAGATGAGAAATAGAGAGTAATGACTCGAACGCATTGTATTAAACGTAGACTCACAGTCAGTATATTAACCCTTTGCGGTCGAATGCCACTGTAATAGCGATTTCGAACTTTGACATCTCAAATCGAAAGCTACAACTAAATCATTTCATTATTTAAATAACGAGCGATTGACATGTGTTTTTCTTCTTTTCTAGTATTTAAGACTTAGATGTATTTTTAATTTTTTATGAAGAGAGTTTTTAGAAGTTTAAAATACGCTCGTCCGGAAGGGGTTAACAATAATTATTAGAATAAAAAAACGAATATCCAATAATCCGGATTAATGGGATTAGGATAAACGAAGTTCCACTGTAATTGGTTCAATGTAAGAGATGTATGATAAACATTGGCTGACATAATATCCAAATGGCTTGTTAACATAAGTGGAAAAAACTAAAAAAAAACAAGGGTAAACTTTCTGTTTTGTATGTAATAGGTACATTAAGGCATTTGCAGTTTATTTTTTTATGAGTCACGAAAAGAATATTTTATAAGCATTATAAGTGGTCATCCTTACAATTTTATATATAATTAAATTAAATAAATATTGTAACAAGTGTTTTTAATTCCGAGAGTAAAATCTGTGTACGTAACATATCAATACTATATTGAACATATAAAGATATTTTTTACTTAAAATATGACATAGAATTAATATTTAAAATATTGAAAACCATACAAGTATAATTAATGTTAGGTGTTTATTTTTGTAATGTTGCTTCAGTTGTGTTAATCATTGTCAGAGTTTAATATTTTTATACAATGTCTAAATACATTGTTTTACATGCAGGGTGACCTTGGTGCCATAGATGGAAAATATGATGTTGCAATCTCAACAGCCTGTGGTCCGTTGGACAATATTGTTGTTGATACAGTGTCAACAGCACAGGCATGCATAACATTTCTACGGACAAATGATATAGGACGTGCTACATTCATACCTCTAGAAAAGCAGCAACGATTCGTAGAACGATGTAAACAAAAGATACAAACACCTGAAAATGTCCCAAGGCTGTTCGATCTTATACATGTTGAAGATCAGAGAGTATTGCCTGCATTTTATTATGGATTACAAGATACATTAGTAGCAAATGATTTAGATCAAGCAACACGCATTGCATATGGTCATAAACGTTTCAGAGTTGTTACATTAAAAGGTGAATTAATTGAATTGTCGGGTACAATGAGTGGCGGTGGAAGAACAGCGTTCAAGGGTAGAATGGGACAAAAGGTTTTAAACAATGAATTTTCCAATATTGATATTGAAAAATTACAAAAAGATTTGGATAAAACGCAGGAACAATGCTCTAAACTTCGGGCTGAATATCAATCTTTGGAAAACCAGGTACATAATTTAGATATAGATATAAAACACATGACAGTTGAAAAAGAGAAATTACATATTCAAATTCAAACCTTGCGAGAACAAGAACCATCGTTACGAACGCAATTGAAAATTCAAGAAGAAAAAGTTACAGAATCAATTGCGAATCCAAAAAAAGTAGAGCAGTTAAAGAAAGGAGTGGATGTCGCTGAAAAATCCTTAGAGGAAGTCAAAGAAACTTCAAAATCAATTGAAGATGAAGTACTGCGTATTAATAAAGAAATAGACGAAATATCAGGAAGTCGTGTAAAAGATAAACAAAAGATTATAACTAATTTTGGCAAATCAATTGAAAAAGCTAAAGCAGAAATTTGTAGATTGCAGGTTGCAATGAAAACATCTGAAAGAAATTTGAAAAAAGTCGAACAACGAATAAGTAACCTCGAGAATGATGTACATATATGTGAGCAAAGACTTCGTGATACTCAAAAAGAAAAGCAAGAATTAGAAGAACAAGCAAAAAAATACTTAGAGGAACTGAATGAACTTACAGAAGCTCTTTTGGAGAAAGACCAACATATGTCATCTTTTAAAGAAGAATTGAATGCTTTACAAGCACGAGAGAATAAAATGAAAGCCATTAAAATTGATTTGGATCAGAAAATGAAAGACTGTAAAAGTGGAATAAAAGAATTAAAACAACAAATTCCAGATTATACGCGAAGAATTGCTCAATTAAAGCTTCAAGTCATTCCCGGTGAAGATTTAGAAGAATTAAATGAATTAACCGAAGAACAACTTAACGAGTTAGATGAAAAAACTCTTTTAAACAATTTACAAAAAGCTAAGAAAAAATTACCGACTGAAATTCCAAATATGCAACTTATTGAAGAATATAAAATAAAAGATGCATTATATTTGCAACGTGCAGCGGATTTAGAAAAAATAACTGTGGAGCGCAATAAGATGCGTGATATTTATGAAACGGCAAGACGTCGTAGAATTCAAGAATTTCTTACTGGATTTACTATAATTACGGATAAGCTAAAAGAAATGTATCAAATGATAACACTGGGTGGTGATGCTGAATTAGAATTGGTTGATTCTTTGGATCCTTTCAGTGAAGGAATTGCTTTCAGTGTAAGACCACCTAAGAAATCATGGAAAAATATATGTAATCTTAGCGGAGGTGAAAAGACTTTAAGCTCTCTAGCCCTTGTATTTGCATTGCATCACTACAAACCTACTCCCCTCTATTTTATGGATGAAATTGACGCTGCTTTAGATTTTAAAAATGTATCTATTGTTGCAAATTACATTAAAGAAAGAACAAAAAATGCACAATTTATAATTATTTCATTGAGATCAAATATGTTTGAATTGGCGGACTATCTGGTTGGAATATATAAAACATACAATATTACAAAAAGTGTTACTGTTGATTTAAGCAAGTATTATGAAAAAAATAACATTGCACCTCCAACGCAAATTACTTCAAAGAATATTTATTCCAGTCAAACACAAAAATTCGCTCTACAAAGTCAATCTAAGGAAAAATGTGCAACACAGATTGGGAATAATGTTCAAACTGCAAACAAAAGTCAAGAAATAAATGGAAATACACTTAGGTAAGTAAAATTAACTTCTACGGTCATATTAATATTGTTTAAAAATAACTTTTAATACAATTAAGGAAGATGTTTATTTAATATTCAGTATTATTCTACAATATGACCTGTAAATAGAGAAATATGAAAAGTTATGATTCCACATAAAAATTAAAAACAAAGATCAAGTATTCTTTACCATTTTATTCGACAATTTTCATTTACTTTGTGTAAATTCATTATAGTTCAAGCTATAAATTTATTTATAAAGTCATAGCTAAAAATGTACTGACGTTAAGAAACCAGAACGATATAACTTAAGCCAATAATATTTTTTAGTTCACTTGAATTAACATTATGTCCAACACCGGAAAAGAAAATTGTGAGAGATCAACCTAGTACAAGTAGCAGTGTAAACACGGATATCGAGGGATCCGGTAGAAAATCGCAGAAAAAGAAACGTAGGATATAAAAAGTGACATAAGCAATGTTTTCTATAAATCTAAAATGATATTTAAATATAGAAAAACACGATTGTGTATAAAAGAGTAAATATTTTTAATCATTTCTTATGAAATACAGTAAAATAAACAATATTTTTATATAAAATCGACTTATGTATAAGCAATTTATATTTAGATTTAGAATTATTTATACATTTTATTATTAAAGTTCTTATAAAAATAATGTTATCTTTATTTTATATTGATACAATTTCAATCCCACTTTTACTCGTTTAGAAATATATTGTTTTTAAGTATTACTTTATTTAGCTGCATTTATGCAATTTTCGTTTTTACGAAGTATATTGTGGTGAAGGTTGTCAGTAGGAAACTAGCAAGATATACTTGCAAGAAAAAGGAGAGGAGGTCGTTTAACGGTGGGGCGCATGTGTGATATAAGTAATATCGAGTATGAGATTAGAATTTGAACAGTCTGTGTTTGAAAGTGTCGGAAATAATGTCTACAAAGAAGGAGCAGCCCGTGGATGATGATTTCGAAAAGGAAACTACGAAAACATCAGGTATGGCATTGAATATTTTATGTTAAATACTTTTTTCAAAGGTTACTGATAAAATGTGTGAGCTGAAATTAATTCAGATGATAATTTGAAAACATTTCAATGTTAATCTGCGTTCATTTATTCCGACTAAGCTTTTGAGAATATTTAATTTCAGAATATATTTATTTACTTTATACTTCGACAGTCGTTTACTTGTTTTAAAAGAATTTTATTATTTCATACCTGTACAATTATTACGTTAAAGTAGGTCGTTAAATGATAATAGTCTATAAATAAGTAAATGTTTATGATAGGTCAGTAAATGATAATGAAATTTAACACAGGTTTATTAAACATTAATAAACGAAGCTTAACAAATTAATAATATGACATAGGTTTAATGTCTTTTTTATTGTGTCTTGAACCTTCTATGCATTTTTAGATAGCGATGAATAGTTAATATAAATTTGTATGTACTTTTAATAAAGGTTTTATAAACTATTTTACAAAGAGTAAAAGAAAAAGTTGTTTCTGTAGTTTAGTAATAACATTAAGAAGATTTATAAAACAGTCTATATAATAATTTGCATTTTGTTATCATTTATGTTATTATTTCTTATACTTCATGATGTGTTTGCTTGCGAAATATTAGAGATAAATAAAATTGTGAAACAGATTTGATATCGGTGACTTATAACTGCTCGAAATATTATTAAACAATTTATTCTATAAGATTTACGTAATTATTGACGGAAAAGTTTATTGAAGATAAGCTAAATTTTTTTCGAAATATTAGATGAGTGAAGAAATACCGAAAGATAATTTTTAATGCTATATTTAAAGTACTTCAAAACTAAAGTGATTAAGAGCAGTGAGCTATAAGAATTGATTCTAATTTATGTATCAATTTTGTATTTATAGTAACACACAAGCAAGTACCAAATGATAGTTATCGAAATTTATTGATTATATTTTGTGTATCCGTTGATATTATCGAAATTATTTAAATTGTAATGTCAAAAATTGTTTACAGTTTATTTGAAATCGAGATAAAATTGTTAAGCTCATTTATATTTCAAAGTTTATTTGATAGTTCTTGCTTAATTATGATTAAAAGATTTAAAAATAATTGATGAATGTAGTATTAAATAGCGTTCTTCATTTGTTTTTTGATAAATCGACATTTTTTTTAGTATAGATGAAATTCTTAAATATAATTATTTGAATTTTTTTTTATTTAGCATATGTAATGCGTGGAATGTAACGTTTAGCATATATCAGTGTGAACAGGTTAAAATTTGTATTCCGAACAACCGGAATACAATTAACTGGTTTTGTGTAAGGATTAAATTTAGATATTTATAATCTAAACTTTTCCAATCTTTTACTTACATACTTATACACTGCGTAAATCATTGAATGATGGCTATTATATGTGTACAGATCTTATCAACGACATTATCAAGAATCAAAAAAGATATCTATGAAAGAATTAATAAATCTTCAGAAATATCTGTAGATTTGATAGTTTTATTCATATATGATTATTGATCTTAATTAATTTATAGCATTTTTCGACGTATTATAATGCATGCGTAATTTTATTATAAACGAGATCGTTTTCTCGGCATTTATTTATTTTCAATAGCAATATTTTCGAATGTATATATTGAGTAATGTCTGTAATAATAATGAAAATATCGTTGTTTAATGGTTAAAGTTATAAAATGTAAATAACATTTGTAATATGACTGCATTGCTTAAAATGAAAAATGAAGAATGGTCCACATTAAGGCACAGTATTTCCGTATATACATCTAATAGATGCGGAGTTTATCTATCCACGTGAACACGTAGTACAAGGTCATAAATATGTTCATAAATGCGACAGTCAATATCAATATCAATATTACGCGATTGGAAAACCCCTTGGTTTTATTTTCGTCGAGTAATTGGTAAACGATAGTAAGTGATAGTATAATGATTCTTTTTTATCTCGTTGGATTACATAAGTTCCGTACGAAAAAAATGTAAACACTGAATGAAAAATGCTTTGTAGTAATATATATATAGTATATTTCATAGATTAAACGCAAGTATTTCACATTTACCTCAACTATTTATTCTTATGTATGGTTTACAATTCCTACAACGCAAATGCCCGTAACTCTTAGTATACTTTGTTTATATTTTTTTTATCAATTGACAATAAACAAAGCTATGAGAATATTGTTAAGGTAAATATTATTTTCGTCTGCGTATTCTGATACGAAACTAATTGATTTAAGTAGATTTAAAATTAATTAATGATCATTGCACATATGAACTTACCATACATAAAAAATAACAAAAAACTGTAAAAACTGAAAAATACTTCAGGGATGTAAGAAGAGCTGATGAAGAGTGTAATTGTGACTTGATGTTTCTAGTGCGGTGAGTTAAGTGTTAAAATTAGAGTAATTTGCAATAAGAATACCGGTGTTTTAAATGCATTTTCAGTTAAATAGGATCACACCTGTTTGCCTTACATTTGAACAAACGTTCTTAATAATCCTGTTATTTTCATTAGTGAAATAGTGCTTTAAATATCTGCATTTTTAAATGGTATGACCGAGAGTACGTGCATTCTTGTTTTTTTTCTTGCTAATGAATTATTTAGTATTTAAGTAACATATAATATAAATAACCGAGTTTTTAAGTCGAAGTTATTTCCTTTTTTTACCAAGAATTCTGCTTTAGCAATTACGTTAGCAATAACGTTCTATTACATTTCTGAATAGTTTTGTTTTCTTTGTTTAATATTTCACGGAATAAACAATCTGCATATATTTATGTTATATAAGGAAGTAAGCGATAAAGAGCATCGTGTTTTCTAGTGGTATTCATTCAATGTACGAGTGAAATAGCATTTTGTTCTTTGAATTAAAATCTAGGTCTGCTACATTTATGGCTAAAACTCGACGACACGAACGATGCCCAAAGAAAGGTATGAAAGAATTCGTTGGTGTTCTGCTTGCACCAGATGTATAAGTACTTGTTCCTTTTTCTTACTAGGAACGGGTATGTTGTACTGAACAAAAAGAAGCACGCGTTGCTCCTGATCTCTTCGCGCATTTCCGCGTGTCGGCTTACTTATATCTAACTACGTATAATATTCGTATAATAAGTAATTTTCGAAGTTGGTTACGGTCTTTTCAGGCTCACAATTGCCTGTACGTCTAAACAATCTGCAGAACTGGTCTCAAAAATTATAAAAAAATAATTTTTATTCTCGAGAATGTTTAAACAATACTTCTTTACTTATTGCTTATTTTGTCATTGAAATAAAAAGCTAGCTTTTATACAACAATACTTTTTTACGAATTGGAAATAATGTAAACACTCTCTTCTTATATGAATAAACTCCTCGTTTGATGAAGAACTTGTTTATGTTATCATCACTAAACATTTTCATTAATTAGAAGTAACGATCGATATATTACATCGTGTCATGAATTTTCTCCTGATTCGAAGCTAATGTTTTAAAAAATAGGTAACGGCACTCTTAGCTTTTACATTTTCTGAATTAATGTAATTACTTGCAGTTGCTTAAATTCATTGTTTTACCAATGTACTCGTATTTCCGTCGATTCACAGAATAATTTCAAATTTTCGATCGATAGTAATTATAACAACATTTGGTGCCTTAGTTGATAAGTGTCACTGATAACGATAGCTTGCCATTATGGACTAATTGGATGTCACAATTGATTTGGAAATACCACCAGAAACAGATTGATGTACTTGATTATAATTGAACATATTTTAATTGACTGACACTATCAAATAATAACATCTTAAAAGAAAGTAATTTTCCATCTTCTCAATGTATACGTTTAATATCAAAGCTTACAAGAATGATCAGAGGTATCGATATTTTATAATATTTTTTACAACTTACCAATTTACTAATATATTCTGTGACAAAATGATACCGTCTCTCTTATATATAATGTTTCTTTTTAGTTTCTGCACAGTAAATTTATCCACCATTAATTTTTGAAGAATTTTGCTCTAAAGCGTAATGTGTTACTATAAACATTAAACAAAACAGATACGTTTGAAAATAATTAATGTACATAAAAAAATAATTTTAAACAACTTTTCCTCAATATAGATTTTCAAGTCTTAAACATTTTCAAAGTATCTACCACATTCTTATGCAGCTGTTATAAATTTTGCAATTACCAGTAATTTATTTTACCTTTTATTAATAAAATTAATAAAAGAAGTATAAGTTTATCCTTAAACTCATTCCTAAACATTTAATTAGAATTTAATTTAATTTTTCGTCATCATTTTTTAATGCATTGAATGCCAAACAATTTTCACATACTTTACATGAAATCACAGTTTTCACAGAACGAAGCGTACATGTATATGGCAATAAAATATGTAAAATATAATATTGTATATGTTTGTATAACAATGAAATCATTTAATTGAGTTAACTTATTATCTTTTGCACATTAATATCTTTTTCATATATCAAACGACAGCTTTTTATGTTAGGTTATTAATAACACTGGAAAGTTTGCAGAAAATTGTCGTGTAGTTGAACGAACTGTTGTAA